TTAGAGTGTACAATTCAATGTTTTTGTTATGTTCAGAAAGTTATACAACCATTACCATCATCTAATTTTAGAATATGTTTGTCACTCCCATAAGACACTTTGTAGCCATTAGCAGTCAATTCCACTTCTCCCCTCCTTCCCAGCAACAATATACTTTCAGTCTATGTAAATTTTCTTATTCTAGACCTTTCATGTAAATTTAATCATACAATATGTGTTCTTTTGTGTCTGACTTTCACTCAGCTAAATGTTTTCAAGAATCATTTATGGCATAGCATGAATCAAAACTTTATTCATTTTATGGCATAATAATATTCCTTTGAGCATTTTGTTCATATATTCAATTCAGGGACACATGAATTTCTACTTTTTGTCTCTGAATATGTTGCCTTTAATATTTGTGTATAATAAATTTCGTGTGGACTTAGGTTTTCATTCCTCTTAAATATTTATACAAGTATAGGTGTGGGCTTGTTAAGTCAGCTGGTTTTCTGTGTTTAATTTTTCAACTTACTGCCAAATCGTTTTCAAAGCAACTGCATCATTTTGCATTCCCACCAGCAATGCATGAGGATTCCAACTCTCCAATCCTCACCAACACTTGTTTTTTTGATTATAGAAATCCTAGTGAATTTAAAGTAATATTTCACTGTGGCTTTAATTTGCATTTTCCTAATGACTAATAATATTGAGCAACTTTTCTTGAGCTTGTTTGCCATTTGAACATCTTCTTTGGAGAAATGTCTATTCAAACTCTCTGCCAATTTTTATTTACTTGTTTACTTTTCTGTGGCTGGCTGATATAGGGATCTGAACCCTTGACCTTAGTGTTATGACACTATGCTGTAAACAATTGAGCTAGTGGGCCAGGCCTCTTCCAATTTTTAAATTGGGTTGTTTGACTTTCTACAATTGGGTTGTGTTTTCATGTATTTATGTATTGTGGATGAAAGTCCCTTATTAGAAATATGATTTTCAAATGTGTTTTCCCACTTCTGTACATTGTCATGTTACTTTTTCGATGGTATCATTTGCAGCATAAAAATTTTTAATTTTGATGTATTTCAATTTATGAATTTTTCCTTTGTTGATTTTCCTGTTGTTGTCATAAAGACGAAAGCTTTGCTTTACTCAAGATCACAAAAATTTACTGCTATGAATTCTCGTAAGATCTTTAAGTTTTAGCTCTTACATTTAGATCCGTCAATCATTTTGGTTTAACTTTTAAGACGAAAGCTTTGCTTTACTCAAGATCACAAAAATTTACTGCTATGAATTCTTGTAAGATCTTTAAGTTTTAGCTCTTACATTTAGATCCGTCAATCATTTTGGTTTAACTTTTATGTATGGGATGAGGTGGGAATCCAACTTCATTCTTCTATCTGTGAGTATCCTGTTGTCCTGGCACTATTTGTTGAAAAAACTATTTTTTGTTCCATGTGGCAGTTCTATCTGTAGTTGTTTGAGAAACTTCCATACTATTTTCCACAGTGGCCGTACTTTGCATTTATGCTACTGAAGTCTCATTGAGCTCCAACTTCACTGAATACATTTCTTCCAGTTCCTGAATGGCCTAATTACACCTCATTGTTTTATCCTAAATATTTAGCTTATGTATATTGTAAGCCCAACCTCTGAAGGCATTTTTGAGTTTTAGCTGTAGAGTATGGTTGGGAACTGAGCTTGAATCACAGTTGATGGTAAGCAGGTCCACACGATAGAAGGATAATGAATCATTTCCCTCCCCCAATATATGTGATTTCAGTATTATCATGATAAGCACTGAATTTATGATTTCTTGAAAGAATGTTGACTGTTAACCAATGATTGTGAATTGTCTCCAGTACGTACTCCTGTAGCACAATTTGTACCTCCTGTGCTCCAATACATACCACCTATAGTTGGTTAAATAATGGCCACCCAAATAAACCATGTCCTAATTCCTGGAACTTATAAATGTTAACTAGTTTGGGAAAAAGGGTCTTTGTAGATGTAATTAAGTTAAAAATCTTGACACGAGAAGATTACATGCTTGGGGCCTAAATTCCATTATAAGGGTCTTTTTAAGAGAGAAACACACAGAGTAGAAACTCACAGAAAAGGCAAAGGCAAAGTGATGTAGCCTCAAGCCATGTAATGCTGGTCACCACCACAAGCTAGAATAGAGACAAAAATCCATTCCTTCTTAGAGCTTCCAGAGAGAGTGCACCTCTATGTCATCCTGATTTTGGACTTTTGGGCTCCAGTACTATGAGAGGATAAATTTATACTTCTTTAAAGCCATCCATTTTGTGATAATTTGTTAGGGAAGCCACAGGAAATTAATACAGCACCTTAGCAATTATTTGTTCATTATCTATTTTCTGAACAGGGCTTTACGCTCCACAAAGACCTTGATTATTTGTCTTATGCACCTTGACAATTCTAGCACCTAAGAGAGGGTTTGTCAAACTTGGCCCTTGTGAATATTGGTTGAATAATTGAATAAATTGGCTGTGATGCTTATATCACTCATAGTTTAGTGTTCGGCTAGATGAATGAATGAACAAATGAATGAATCAAATAACAAATTGCCATGGGTTAAATGTGTTGCCCAAAAGTTATGTATTGCAACTTGAACCCTGTTGTAACAGTGTTAAGAGGATGGGAAATCCAATTACATTATTTGAAAGGCAGGGACTTTCAAAGGTGATTGGATCATGAAAATTGTGGCCTTGTGAACGGATTGATCAATTCATGGAATAATGTGTGTGGTTCTGATGAATTTAAAAGGAAAGCAAGTGAGAAGGTTAGCTCTCTTGCTCAGCCCATTCTTGTGATATGACACCCCGGTTGCAATAGGACACTGTAAAGAGTTCTTACCCAGAAGGTCCTCACCAGATGTGTTCTCTGGACCTTGGACTTCCCAGCCTCTAAAACTGTAAGAAATAAATTTCATTTCTTTATAAATTACACAGTTTCAGGCATTCGTTATAATCAACAGAGACAGACTAATACAGAAATGTATATTTATTTACATAAATAAATACATTTAGACTCACTGTAAAAATTACTATAATTCTGATTATTCAGCAAAGTAACTGAGAGAAAACTACAGATTTTATGATGGGGAGCAAAAGAAGCAAAGTTTTATGGGTGGTTTTACTGGAGGATAGAGTTAGAATTTGGGTTTCTAGCCTAGGAAAAGTGAAGGTTCTCTAAAGATCTAGGGGATAGTCCAGGAAGAGGCATCTGAAATAGTGCTTTCCCAGACACTGTCCTTTCAGTTGCAAAATTTTTCAGGTGGTAGCTGCCATGCTTAATGCAGCTTCACTAAATACTGGTCTATAGTCATAAGCAAGGAATATTATCTGTGGTGCTCAGTATAGAAGAAGACCTTAATAAGTTCCTTATTAAGCTGCAGACCTTCCTCATATCTCTCCCTTAACATGTGAGGAAGGTCTGCAGCTTAACAAGGAACAACATTCATTATAGATGATTTATGAAGGAGAACTTCAGATCAAACAAAGATGAGGTGCCTGGCTGTTTGGTCTAAAATACAGTGTCATATAAACTTGTGTAGTTATTTAAATATGCTCTTTTAGACACAGCTCCTTATAAGGCCTACTGTAAATTGGAAAAACAGATTTAAAAAACTATGAAAAAGCACCAGGTGACAAGCTTTTGGTTTTGCAGTGAGCTGTCTGCTGGGGTTACTTTCCAAAGAGGCACTTGCCCTTTGAATCATTGACTGCATAATAATTCTGCTCAGACTAATCACTCACTTGTGGAGTATACGAGCGTTAGTGGCTATGTTATCTTACTTCAGGTAATAAACAAGAACATTGTGTGTGTGTGTTTGCAAACAGGAAGCACTTTTATATTGCAGCCATGTACATTTAACTTTCTTTATTGTCTCATTCCAAACTTATTTCTTATTCCTCTCTATCATCTGTGAAAACTCTTGGTCTTTGCTGTATTTTCCAATGCTCTGGCTTATGCCCTGTTTCAATTCCCACTTACATTAAATTGTATTTCTTCCAAAAAGCTATTTCAGCAGGAGGTGATATCTTCATTCTCTGAACTCCTAGAATACTTTGCTTCTACTTTTTTTAAAAATCATGATCATCAGAATGATGAGCCACCATTTATGGAGGGTTCACTTTATGCCAAACATTGGGTTACATCCTTTACACACACTATTTCATTTAATTCTTACAACAGTTCTGTTGAAGTGGGCTCTATTATCTCCATTTTACAGTCAAAAACCCTGAAATTTTGAGAGGTTTATGTGATTTGCACAAATATGCAGCTTCTGAGTGGAAGATCTACAGTTCACCCAGAAAATCTTAAGAGTTTATATTTTTAACCTTTCTACATACTGTCCCTTAGGCTAATACTGATAGAATAATAGATGCATTTTCTTTTCTAGGTAATAATGATGTTTGAAGGTAGAGAGAGACTCCATATTATTTTATTTTTCTGATTACAACTTCTAGGACTTAGCAACTCAATAAATATTGGTTGGATGAATGAATCAATCTCTAGAATAAACTTATTACAATAAAAATTACTGGGCCTTAAAATGTATTTTAAAATAATTTAAGAAAGTTATACTGATGGCTATAGATAAATTATTATAAAACGTAAAAGATGGAATTCATGGATAAACATGACTTGCCTCATATTAACTATGCCAAATGTCTTTTCCCATGTTTTTTAAAGTTCTGTATATAAATAATACATAAATAATGAGATATTAATTCACAACTTTTTGAAGTTTCCTAGCTAGATGATTTGGCTCAAGTTAACAGAACAATTTGCCATGTTTTTTAAAGTTCTGTATATAAATAATACATAAATAATGAGATATCAATTCACAACTTTTTGAAGTTTCCTAGCTAGATGATTTGGCTCAAGTTAACAGAACAATTTGGTTTAATCAATTTTATGTGTCAAATGCAAATTATTAATCTTATGTTTTTTGTTTTTTTTTTTTGTGATTTTGTTTCCAGGATGGTGTAGGGGTGGATGAGAAGCTGTCCTTACGGCGGGTAGCTGTGGTGGAAGATTTCTTTGACATTATCTATTCAATGCATGTGGAAACAGGGCCAAATGGAGAACAAATTCGGAAACATGCTGGACAAAAGAGAACTTACAAAGCAGTAAGTTATAAAAAAGAAAAGAAAAAAATGGCATGTATTTTGAAATTTGTTATTATGTATACTCATTAAGAATGGGTTAAATAATGATAAAATTCTACTTTCATTATAAATTAGACCATAGCATGGTCACATCCAACATTTGAACTATAATTATTACTGACTTTATTTTGTTTTATGTTCACTAGTCTATTATATATAATTTAAACCTGAATTCTCCTATTGTTTTCTCTAAGTATATATAAAATGTGGTAGTCCAAGTGAAATGCCCACAAATGTGAAGATATATTTGTATTATATATTTGATGTGTTGTGATATATGAATTATGGATGGGAAGATATTAATTTTTATATTACCACTTCTGTCTTAATGTGCCTTCTCCTTTAAATTGTATTAGTATATTTAGGTATTTCCTATTTTATACTTACAGTACCATAGGTAAGAAAATTTTATGTAGTTTTCTTATGTCACATTAGATAAAATACATTTATCCTTAACAATATGCATTTTTTAATTTTTCAGAATAGGCTATTAAAAGATATATGTTATTTCATAGATCTAATGCCCTTGACATTTTAGAATGGAAATATATAATGTTTTTATTGTAAATTATGTGAACAGCAGATTTAATTAAGTGTTAGATTTTGAAATATGTATTGTCAAATTGGAGTTATATATTATTTCTAAAGTTTCTAATTATATCTACAGTTTGATCTAGACACTTTAATCTAGATTTTATTTAATTAGAAACTTTATGAAATAATATTACTATAGATATTTTATCCTTTCTAGGAAAATTGAGCAGTAATTTACTCTTTTTAATATAAGCAAAGTGTACATCAGAAGTATTTTATCAGCAAGCAGGATAATATCCTTTTTTTAGAATTCTTATTGAACTTTGCTTTTGGCTACCTTTATATTAACTGTTTTCAGCTGTATTGATACACAATATCAGTCTGGATCCATTTTTTTTTCAGATACAGAAAAATGTGTGAAATGCTCAAAGTTTCAAATACAGGTACATATGTTTGAAAATTAGCTACTGAGCATAAGAAATAGCTTCTTTTCCATAACTATTTTTTGCTATATCGCCAGGGTCATATTGAACCTTTGTAGTTGCATAATAACCCCTAATACATGTTGCACTTATCCCTCCTTCTCTATGGTTTTGTTTCTTGGCTGTTTCCAAATTGCATGGTTTGTGGGCGCCAGGGTCATATTGAACCTTTGTAGTTGCATAATAACCCCTAATACATGTTGTACTTATCCCTCCTTCTCTATGGTTTTGTTTCTTGGCTGTTTCCAAATTGCATGGTTTGTGGGCAGGCACCATTGTAAGTTTCCTTACATAATTCTGCCCCATAAACTATCTTTTGATTTACACATTCCAGGAGACATTCTGATCATGACTAATGATAATGACCTACCTTCTTGAGAAATTATATAGACTAATATTACTGAACATACTCACTTTGCCTGTCTCCTAAGCCAGAGTTGTACCTCTGGATAGTAAGAAGAGAAAAATTGTATATTGATCTACTAATATCACTAACTGTGTACTCTTATGATAATGAATTTTCATGAAATAGCTACCTGAACTTGATAGGACTTTGTAAGGTAGGAATACACAAATTTAATTGCATTAAATGAAAAACAAAAACAAACGAAAAACAAGTGGCATCATTGTTAGTAGTAGTGTGGCAGCCAAATCTGTTTAGGTGCCAAAAGCAATTTTAAATGATTTAATCTTTGAAATGCATTTATTAGAAACATTTAATTAAAGTGGAAACATGAGTCAATGACATAGATCCAAATCTCTCACCCTGTGTTTTCTTAAATGAAAAGTAGAGAATCTGATACATTGCCCATTGCTCATGCTAAACACTTGCAATAAATTTGTAAACATGTTTCCAGCATATATAATTTTGTATTAACATTATAAAGACATTTTACACGTTTTGGAGTACCAACTTTGAAAGTGTAAGCAGAATCTGAAACATCATCCAATCCCCTCTTGAGAATATCCTATTTGAAGATCCTTCTTTTTCCCTAAGTTTATTTTTTATTTCCAAATCTAAACTTTTATTACCTTTTTTCTAATATCATGGAGATTCTTTTTTGGCCTAACCTTTTTCCCTCTGGTATCTCTCAAGTGAATGCTAATTAGGAAACATTTCCATTTTATGGAGTAATAATTCATTGTAGGAAAAAAAAGGAAAAATTACTGCTGCAATGCCAGCAAAACTGTGCACATGATTCTACAATGAATTTAAGTCTAATGTTAAAAATTAATATAAACGTTCAATTAATGGTGCATAAAACTAAAATTCAATTTGAAATGAAATGTGTATTGCTATTAGGGCCATAGACTGTTGATTCAGAGTTTACTTTTTTATACTAATGGTGGAATTGGCTAGTCATTGGTAGTATTAGCTTAGATACCTATTGCAATTATAACGGTTCCCATTAAGTTTAAAATTTTTTTCTACTTCTAACACATTAGCTCATAGAAAATGCATGATTATGTTTATTGACCTTCTTTTTCTTCCTCTTCCTACATGGCCAAGAAACCATACTTATACAACTAATCATTAAAGAGTATCATATTGTCTTAACAATATTATCAATAGATTTAGTGATCATTTTATTTACTTTGCCTTTTTTGCAAATCTTCTTTCTGTGTTTTCACTCTGCAGGAAATGATGGCCCTTTAATATTGGATTAACTTTTGAATGCTATTTGGTCTTACCTATCTGCAGTATATCATTCCTTGAAATATCTAGGCATTATACAGTTTAAATTTTATTGCAATCTGATATGACTATAAATAAAATTTGAGGTTATATATTCTATTAATCATGAGTTTTTAAAAATCCACACAAAATGACACACTTTAGGAATATGTAAAGGCTATAATGATTATTTTTTCAATCATTATTGCATTCCAGGGTCTTTTAGAATTTTATTT